AGCCTAAAACAGTCAATAGAAATTCCTACATGAAGTTATATATACTGTATTTTACATATCATAATGGTGGTTACTTGCTGTGTGTGCAGTACAGTATGCTGTATGTTTTGATCCTCCTTTGCAAAATAGAGTTTCTGCTGTTGCTACGTTTCTCAATACTTTGATAGATAAACACTGAACTGGACATAGCATTTCCACAAAAAGGGAATGGGGAGACAGGTGGAGGTTACAGGTAGAGTTAAGGTTTGAATGGGGTGAGGTGCAGTGGCCAGGGGAGAAGAAACAGTTCAAACTGCACGGGATGTATGATTAAAGGAAAGTTGATAGAGGAGGCAGTGTGGGATTGAAGTAAAAGGTGCAGCTAGAGAAAACTGGAGCAACAATGTCAGTCTGGTTTTCATAGGATTATGTTCTATGATCTACCCCATCCAACACACACACACACACAAAGTAATGAACGCTGATCCCTTTAGCATAATTTCTAAGAAAATTTAGCTTTAAACCTTTATCACTATTTACTGCAACAAACATCAAATACTTAAAAGCTGGCCTGGCTTGGTTTGCCACTTCCCACCCACTGGGCACTCATGGATCTACAGAAATTACATATGACATGTGAGGGAGGCAGAGAAGGCAGGGGATTTAGGAAGTCAGGCTGAGTTTAAGTCATCATCACTGGCTACCAGTGAGGATGGCAGCGTAGCTTTGGTCTCTAAACATTTATGGATTGATGCCGTTGAAGCTCATTTCATGTATATTTTATCATTTGTCTGTTAAATGGCTTGTCTTGTCTCATCTGAGCAGTAAAAGCCTCAAACACAAGTACAGTAACATGAGCAAGCATTTGGCTTGCAGTTAATACAAAAGATAAGGTAACTGAAATTCATATACAGTAAAACCTTTGTTTGCAAGTAACCTGGGCTGCAAGTGTTAAAACACCCCAAACATGATAAACGAGTGAGGTCTTGCAGTGCGAAGAGTATGTACGTTTTGTCTGCCGAGTGTCACAACACAACTGAGAACTGATGGTTTTCATGCCTTACTCATATAGTGAACATCTGTACTGCAACAATGGCCTCGATGAAGAAAAAATAAAGGTTGAAAATAAAGGCGGAAAGGAAAAGGAGGTGATTATGGTGGAAGTTAAAGAAGAAATCATCGAGAAGCATGAACGAGTTATGCCAGTGGACGACATCGCAAGATTTTATAAGGGAGATGTGTAAAATGCGGGAAATGGTGCAAAATTTTGTGGAAAAGCACCACCCGAATAAGGCTGTAGCAGTGCAAACGATAAATCTGTTTAACGATAGTGCAATGCCACATTTCCGCCAAATCCTTAAAAGGAGGCAAAAGCAAGTGTCATTGCATAACTTCCTTGTTAAAGCAGGACAAAAAGAAAAAGATTTCAGTGAGCCAACAGATAGCAGATAGCTCCTCTCCCTGTCTCCCTCACACCAGCCACGATTCTTTTCAAAGGTAAAGCGCAGGTTAATTTGTTTTATTTTTACTTTATACTGCATTTTGTATTAATGTAATCATTTTTATATGAATAAGTGATTGTAGAACGAATGATCTGAGTTTCCATTATTTCTTATGGGGAAATTCGCTTTGATATGTAAGGGCTTTAGATTACAAGCACGTTGCTGGAACGAATTATAATCGCAATCCAAGGTTTTACTGTACATACATACTTATATGAGATGAGGTTAGACAGTGCCAAGTGCATCTCCATCTATGCATTCTTCAGGATCATTTGGTCAGTTTAACTTTGGATGTGCACGACAGAAAGCCACCAGCAGCACGAAGACATGACCTGCTGACACAGCAAGCCATAAACAGTTTGATAAGGGAGGGGCAGCAATGGTAGAATGCATTCTGCTTGGTCACTGCAGCAATGCTACTCAGCTTTCAGGGAATTAAAAAACAGCACGAGGCAGACAGAAAGAAAAGCACAGTACTGTATAATATACCATGTCTGGATCATCAGAAATTATCCAGCCTTCCTGGTAAATGCTCATCCAGATCTGACCTGTCCGGATCAGAGGGTTTGTGGTGAGTAGTGTGTTCCAGCACACACATAAAAAATGCACAGTCACATATACACATACACCGTGTAAATAAAAGCAGAGGCAGCTGACCTCTCACTAATAGACTGATAAGAGCTCTTGTATCACATCTGAATTAACTTGTTTGAAGGACACAGGTGGAGAAACTCCATGAAGAACAAAAATGAAACCGGACTGTGTGTTGCAACTACGCAGTCTGTTCATAGCCACCCATCAGGCTTTATGACAGCACTTCTGGGAAAAACACAGCATATAAATACAGTATGGTCAGCACGTGGTAAATAGTCATTTACTTGTATAGCACTTTACAGTACTATGCATTGCAGCACACTCAAAGTGCTTTCACACTATTTGACCATTCACCCATTTGCACTCACAAACACTTACACAGTTACATTTCTGGAGGACATACAAAATGATGCACTAAGAGAAAAAAGTATTGTCTCCACCTATAGTGGGCAGCAGGGTCCCAGTGAGAGCCAGAACTGTCTTTGAAGAGGAGACAATTGTCATTCAGATATCAGCGTACATCTATGGTAAACCAAATCAAAGCCAGTACAAGAGTTCTGATAAGTGAAAAAGTCTTTCAGGTGCCTCAGAAGTCTTTGTTTGGATTCAGATTTTAACTTTGATCACAGTGTGTACACTGGAAAGTTTTGCTTTCTTTGTTCAGCATGTCAAGGAAGTGCTTAATGTTATGTTGTTACAACAGATCCTCACAAGATAAAGTTTAGTGTACAGTAAAATCAAAGCCCTTGCACATCTGATATATTTGAAAATGTTTAAAATCCTGCACACTTTTATACCGCAACCACAGGCTGTAACAACCAGTCAACAAAAGATAAAATTCACAACAATTCATAAATGCAACAGTTGATTTAAAACACCCCAAAAATTTGATAAACAATATTGTACTGTATATCTTAAGGTCTACAATACAATTTAAAAAATGAAAATGGCAAGACCTGGATGTGCAATGCAAAGCATGTTATTTCCAAGGGAAAAGTTCAAATAGTGTTGAGAGGAAGGAAGGCAACAAGTAGGCAGCCAGTTTATATTCTGTGTATCAAGAGGAATCAACTGTTTCACTCTAGGGCAGCTTTTATCAATTACTGATGGTGTAATACAGTGGTCCCTAACTTCTTTTGTCTGAATTACGTCCGGAGTCCTGTAGGTTTCATTTAGATACACCATCATCAACACCACCTCGCATTTTTCAAGCGTGTTCATTAAATGAGCTTAAAACTGCATCTTGTTTTTAACACATCACATGAAAGTGGATATTGTTGAATATCCAGGCATAGGAACCCCATGAAGGCATAGGAATCCCCTGATGTTTAGGCACGGTCTACTTTTCAGGAGGTTCTGTAAAGTTTGATGAGCACAGATGATGAGCACTTGGAGTGGGTGTTTCTACCAGTTTGCCTGTCCATATTACCTTATTTGCTCACATCCTAACAGGGTTTCATGCACTCTCATTTACAGTATGGTGACTCAGGTCTTGTGCAGTCATCCTATCATAGCAGGACAGGTTATCATGACAAATTCCATCTTCCGCTGCCTGAAACATTCTCATCAGATACTTGGAGACTCCTCACACCCTGTCCGCCACCTTTTACAGCTGTTACCACTGGGGAAAAGGTTCAGGTCATGTGGAGCAAGGACCACCAGAATGCTCAACAGTTTCATGCCACAAGCCATAAGACTCCTTAACAGCTCCTTTATGCCCCATCTATGCTTCACTGATATAACGTCAGAACTTTTTATCATCACACCACCAGCTGATGTGCTGTATTAAGTGATTTATTATTGTGATCTATAATGTGTCTTAGCATTTACTATTATTTATTAATTTGTCGGGTTTTTTATGATTTGGAGATGCTATGCTGTTTTATTGTTTTTATAACAATAGCAATTTTGAACTTGAACTTTTAACAGTATTATTATTTCTATTTTTTCAACTTAGCATATGTACTCCACAATCCAACATTTTCATACTGGCAGCAAGGCCTTAACAACAGTGATACCAGGAGTCATATCTGAGACTTTTTTACCAGTTATCCCCAATCAGGGCTGTCTGTACCCTTTGGAGTACTTCTGCAGTTGTCAAAGGGTACAGACAGCCCTGACTGGGAATAACTGGTGTAAGAATCTCAGATATGACTCCTGGTGTTACTGGCTGTTGCAAGGCCCCCTGTCAGTATGAAAATGTTGTTTCCTCATGTGAATTTGAAGCCAGACATACATCTATGACCAAAACCATTTCCCATCCACCATTTACCTTTTGTGCATTAGGCAACATGTAAAGTTTGATTTCTTACAAATCACTAAAGTGATGACCACTAATGACCTAGAATTTATGCTACCTGTATATATTTTAACCAAGCCCTGAATGCAGTGTGTGTGTGTGTGTTTGTGTGTGTGTGTGTGTGTGTGCATATATATGTGTATATATATATACAGTATAGCTTCAACAACAGCTTAGCATAGAAACTACCTCAAAATAACTGCATTTTTAAAAAGTCACTAGTCTGAGATCATGTTCTGAGTCACACCAGTGACTGTCAGTGTAATAAATAACCGACGGTGGCACAGAAATAGAAAAAATAATCCAAATGTATTAACAGTAAAGAAGAATGCACTCGTGCAGTCTTCAACTGGCGCTTGAAATAATCTCTTTATTTGATCTTTTTAGTGTGCTCAAAGCAGAGAAGAAGTAAAGACTTGATCTTTTAGAAAAGGACAGAGGTTGGTGTAACATGAAAAATTTTCAGAGCATTGTTCATTATACAAACAAAACATTTATCATACTGATACATGTGTGATTATGAGGCACCACACAATAATACTGTACACTCATCAAGTATTTACACAAGAATAAAGCATTATCCCTTGTAGCTATCATATTTACAGAATAAAGCATTATCCCTTGTAGCTATCAATGCTCAAAATGTAAGGATGAAAATATTGTCTCTGTGTATATAATAACAGTGTGTGCGCTCTTGTGTGTGTGCAAGCGGCAGACATTAAAACAGGAATAATGTGGTTTGGTTTTTACGATGACTAAGTGCTTTTTGTGACTATGTGAGAGAAAAGAAGAGTGACAGACAAAAGGATGGAGGAGAACAAAAAGTCACTTGACCAGAGAGAATCAAACCATCTGTTAAAGCAAGCATATACACACACACACACACACACACACACAGACATACTGTCACTAACCGGCAGGTGAGATAAGATGTGGTAAATTCTGCAGCTCACTTTATCACAACACAATTCCACATTATACACGTTGTCCTCTCTTTCACACACATACAGGAACACACACACACAGTGAAAGCCTCGGTGGGTGCCCATCTGCCTCAGCAGTACTTTTGTATTCCATCTATTTTCTCAGAGGGGGGCACAAGGTGGAAACACATCTGGGAAGTGCCCATGGTGCCACTCTACTGTACTCTCCATGCCACCACACAGTCCAGGTTTACAAGAAAGAAAAACATCCTGACGCCCTGATTAAACTGCAGTGGAAACTTTTTTGACACATACTGTATATGAGCCCCCCACAGAACACTGACACAGAAATCTTTTTTGTTTAGTTTTTTGTTTTTAGTGAAACAGTTTTGCTACTGAAACAGTAAGCAAGGAGCCCCTTCGTCCCATTGGCTCTCATGTTGAGAGTGTGACGTTATAGAAAGGTAGAGAAAAACTTAGTGAGAGACAGAAGATAGAAGATAAACACCACTATCTAACAATACAAACAACAGGTCTGTGGAGATTGTCAAGGCCTTCACATTATATTCAGTGAATGAGGTCACATTATAAATCAGGTGTCTCTGTAAACCCTTCTCCTCCTGTGCAATTCATCTGAGCACAGCTATTGTGGTGTGCATGCATCACAGTAACTATTATCAGCCAGTTTTCTGTATTTAAATCAAGGGAGAAGAAGTCGAGAAAGAGGGGAATAAGTCGAAGCCCACATCAGGGTCCAAAAACAGCCTGAATGTTGTTGGATGAAAGCCTCCCCTATAAATATTACAAGAGCTCTTACTCTTGTATTTTCATCTTCTTTTCTGTACCTTAGTTCAATCCTTTGATCCGTTAAGCATACCCATTATTTCAAGTACAATCCATGAAAGCAAAGGTGTGAAAGCACCCCAGGCCAGCTTTTGATCCTACAGCTCAGGACCAGTTCAAATGTATGTCTGTAGGATAAAATGTCTATTAGAAACCCAGCCATGCAGGACCCCCCCTGCCCCTCAGAAAGAGCGTTTCCATGACTTACACAGGATTTTTTGAAAGGCTCTGCGGAAGTCCTGATTGAAGATGGTGTAGATGACTGGGTTTAGCGAGCTGTTGCAGTAACCAATCCAGAAAAAGAACTTGAATAGCGTCTCAGGGATTTTGCA